GAGTTTTTAGTCTGGTTCATTATGGTTTTAAATGGGTTATATACTGTTTAATGAAAAAATATTCAGGTGAGAGAGAAAAAAATATATGTTCCATCCCCTATATCTCTAAAACCACAGCAGCTGTTTTAATACTCACACTTCTGATGAAACCTCCCAACTGTTAGCTTTATTTTGAAACCAAGATTATTTAAGTAGAGTTTGTAAAAGCTGAGATTAACTCAGTTACATTTCAGCTGGGATTTTGGGGAAAAACATCAAGAAAAGCCCCTGGGGCTGAAGAGGTTAAACACCATCTTCAGAATCTGGCCCCGCCCACTTTTAAACATTACATGGGTGGGGGGAAGTCTCCCTGTCCACAGTGACCAGATCCTCACACACACTTCCTGTCAGCTGATGAGAAACACACCTGTGTGGTCGGTGTGATTGGTGTGTTTTAACTAAATATATCACAGTGTAACATGTCACTCTTGTACCTCAACTAAATCACAGTTTAATCAGACAAATAGATAATTTGGCAAAAACAAGTGGTAATCTAAACCTATTGTAGTTGCCCTAGAGATAAAACAGTCTGTGTGATGTTTAACTATCAGTAAACAGRATAAAWGTATTTTTCAGAATAAAAGACGGTTGTGAAACTTGACGGTTTTCTTTGTAAAAGTAAAGTRTGTGTCTGTGCTCTTGTCTGTTTCTGTTGAAGACCTTTAGAAGAGGACGTCTCTGGCGTGATGTCGGAGCCAAAGCGACCTGCTCCAGAACCGTTTGTCACTACTCGGGGTTCAGACAGCTCTTTGTCTAAAGAGAAGCCCCTCGTCGCTCTCAGGGACCCTCCTGCTGTGTCGGAGACGCCCCTCGTGTCCGCCGCTGATTTGTTTGTGGATCGATCAGAAGCTGGCTCWGAGGAACCGCAGAGTGGGAAAAGGAAGCAGGAAGAAGAGATCGAGATGGAGGAGCTGGAGTCCATCATGTCCATGGACTTAGATGGCTTCGATGACGAGCTGCCCAGTCACCAGCAGGAGCAGCTGAAGGTGCACACTTTGACTGGACAGAACCAAGGTGCTGCCGAGCCTTTAAACAAGAGGCAGCGCACCGAGCAGAGAGAGAACGGACCGAGCCGAGACATGAGCCCGAAGAARGAATCAAGCTGTCAGCAGAGGGAGCTGCTTCAGGTAACAAACCTGTGGAACAAAGAGAAGTCCTGTGAAACAAGTAAAAACACTGAACTGTTGGAAGACGAGGCGTCTTTTGTTCAGGTGAGGACTGTTCTGCTCTGTGGGTCCAATAAAAACACTTCAKCATCTTTTCACCGGCAGGTTGAAACGTTTCAACTGTTCTCGTCTCACAGGATGAAGAACTTCTCCAGTTGGATATTTTCCAGCCTGGAGATGAGACCAAAGCTGCTGCTGAGCCTGGTGAGCCTGTCGTCATCAAGCAGGAGGTTCAAGTAAGACCTGTGGAAAGTGTCCCGACACTTTGACTCACTTCGTAGATTAGACAAAACTACAAAAGACTCATTTGTAATTTCAATTAACCAAAAAAAAAAGAAAACACCAACAACACTGGCTACATTTGTAGCTGTAACTAGATGAAAATAAATAAATCAGAATCAGGTTTATTGGCCAAGTATGTTTACACACACAAGGAGTTTAGAACATCCGTCCGGAGAAACACACGTGACAAACATGGKGGAACGAATGTTCATTGTCCTTCGCAACTTAGTGCGCTACCTTTGCAGTTTAGAATACACACACATAGGARGGATGAGTTAAAAAAAGAGCTTTGATCCTGTGTTTTATACAGAGAAAACACACGAGCATGCGCACAAAAAACTACTCTGCGATAGGCTGTCTCGCAACAGGTGACTAAGAGAGGAACAAGTGACAAACTTAAAGATATACTAATGTCTGACGAAAAACGTGAAATTATTTATAAAAMAAACTTTGGTTCTTTGTTGTTGAATATAAAACCCAATCACAGCAGCTGTGAAGATAAATATTTGTTTTTTGTACCCAGTAGAGGAGAAAAATATCAAGTTACAGAACGTGACAAATCCTGGTTTATTTTGAAGAAGGAAAAAAAGATTAGAGTTCAACAGTTGAAACGACCAAATGATTTGTGTTTCAGGAGTCAAAGCTGGATGAAGACCTGCCAAAGAAGCTGGTGTTGGTGGAGTTCAGATCTCTGACTGTGACGTCTCCTCCCACCTCCAGAACCAAACACATTCAGCAGAACACACACGAGAACAACTTCAAATGTTTCCGCAAGGTCAGAAATGTTGGGAACGCTTTAACTGCAGCTTATTTAGCCTTACTTAATCATTAATAAATGGTTAGTTAAACACCATTAATTACAGATGACTCATATAATAAGTTATAAATTAACCTGTTTATTAATGCTTTACCCTTAAAGGATAATTACTTACAAATCCAACTTACTCATTGTTTATTTATGCTTAAAGGGATCCACGGTTAGTTGTAACATTAGACTTTATTTGATAAACATTTATTTGAACTGTAAAATAAAGGCTGTTAAAAGNATTGTCAGGACTTTATGTTTTTTATTGTCAGGACTTTATGCTATCAGGACTTTATGTTGTTTATTGTCAGGACTTTATGTTGTCTATTGTCAGGACTTTATGTTGTCTATTGTCAGGACTTTATGTTTTTTTATTGTCAAGACTTTATGTTTTTTATTGTCAGGACTTTGTGTTGTTTATTGTCAGGACTTTATGTTTTTTATTGTCAGGACTTTATGTTTTTTTATTGTCAGGACTTTATGTTTTTTGTTGTCAGGCCGGAGGTGTTGGAGGGAACCGGAGTGGTTGCTGTAGCAGAAACTCCTGAGAGGAAGAGAAGCCAGAACACAGCTGGGTTCAGTGGATCCAAACTCTCAGCTCAGACAACAACAGGGTCTCCCTCTGTGGTGGCTGACACTGTTAGCTCATCACTCAGCTCTGCAGACTCACAGAGGAGGAAACTTGACTCTAAAGTAACAGGTAATGTTATGGTTGAAATAATTAAACTTTGTCACATGACTTAATTCTTTTTGAACTTCATTGTGTTTTGGATCTCTTGGTCACTAAAATAACTTGAAGATGACAAAAGTAACAATAAATATAAATGTACTAAGAATTAACCAATGAGATGCCCACTCTGCTTTTGAATTGAGGTTCAACAGAATAATTTTAAAACTTGTAGCCTTTTCTTTTTTCAGTATTTTCAGTTTTTTGCAAACTGTTTTTACGACCAGTTTGCTTGTGTTTCAGGTGGAGGCCGTTCTGATGCTTCTTCCCAGATCTCTGCTTCAAAGATAAATGGTGACAACAAAGCTTGGTTTTACAAACGCTCGCCCCAGAAGCTAAAACCTTCTGCTCAGACGTCCCCACAGAAACAGACGACTCTGACCAACTTCTTCCAGTCTGTCAACAAGAAAAGGTAAGAGAAAGAAATGTAGGGCTGAATTATACATGAATAAATGTTCTCCATTTATACAACAAATAACTAAAATATTCTCTTTTTTTATTTCAAGTGTGAAAATAATGTTGGTCCTTTAAAAAATGTCAGAGTATTTTTGTCTAAAAAGCTCTTGATTAGTTTTTCATAGCCCAGAACTACATGAGAAGTTCTAATAAAATTTAATATTTCCATTTTTACATTTAATTCATCTAATTTTAGAAGAACTAGGAGCTGTTAAAGGACACAACAAAAATGAAATGTAGATTTATTTCATGAAAAATTATTTTACTCCTAAATTTCTGCCTTAACTGATTGAGATCAAAACAATATTATAAAACAAAAAGTGTGTTCAGTTGACTCCACTGTGTGTCGACAACCAGACATACATAACAAATAGACGTGGATGTTAAATGTAAGAATGAAGAATACCAGCACTGGGCCAACCACAAAGTTTAATTTCTGCAAAGCAACATTTCCTGTTTTCTWTTTCTTTTAACTTCTGTTAACTTAAGATCTGTAAGCTGAACCTGGACATGTTTGGTATCAAAACAAAGCTGAGTCTTGGCTAACAGTTCAAATGACAGCAACTGAATCAGAAAGTAAACAACTGCACAAAATGGGATTGTTGCAAATCTGTAAATACGTTACAACAAATCTTTAAAGGAAAGGTTTTTGACATTTGTTTTTAAAGTAAGTCAAAGTAGATACCTAAATATGTTGTAAAATGTGTTGAAAGATTTTTTTTTAACTTGATTTTGAGTGAATCTGAT